CCTGGTACTAGCTCTGTAGACCAGACTGGTCTCAAACTCAGAGATCTGCCTGCCTCTGCCTCCCAAGTGCTGGGAATAAAGGCGTGCACCACCATCGCCCAGCTTGAAAATTAAACTTTGATGACCAACTCAACTATCTCTTGCAGGACTTGAAGGTATTTCCATCACCCTTAGCTGGTTTCCCCTGGGTTCCCTTCACAGTTTTCTTTTTCTTTCTTTTTTTAAGATTTATTTATTATGTAGACAGTGTTCTGTCTGCATATATACCTGCAGACCAGAAGATGGTGCCAGATCTCATTACAGATGGCTGTGAGCCACCGTGTGGGTGCTGGGAATTGAACTCAGGACCTCTGGAAGAAAAGCCAGTGCTCTCAACCGCTGAGCCATCTCTCCAGCCCCACAGTTTTCTTTTGCAGTGCTGGAGATGAATGTGTAGCATGGCATCGTGCATGCCCGTCAAACCCTGTACTGCCGAGTCATGCACAGTCGCCATGCTCGTGTGAGTTTAAAACATCTCTTTCCCAGAGCTGTTGGAGAGGCATTTGACCGCTCTGGCTCCTGCACCTCTCAGGGACTGCTTAGCGGTGATGCCTGCCGCAAGTCTTCAGCCTGATTTCCATTTACAGTGCCATCTGGTATCAGGAGGTGCAAAACTGAAGGAAGCAGTAGTGCCTCCTGGGTAGGACTGTGCTTGTGATGAAGAATCCCTTTTTTTTGTTGAGATTCACTGTAACCAGCCTGGTCTGGAAGACAGCTGTCTGCTCCTGCCTCCTGAGTTCTGGGATTAAAGGTTTATGCCAGTATCCCTGACAAAAATTGCTCTTCTTCATAGGTTTCCATGTCACCCAAGCTAGTCTCTTCCCCCATGTGTTGGGATTGTGTGTGTGTGCACGCACGCACTCTACACCAGCCTGGCCTCTAGGGATTCCTCCCAGTTTTCCATAGGAGTACTGGGACCTGAGACAAATGCTACAATGTCTGGCTTCCCTCCCTTTTTTAAGTTTTATTCATTTTTATGAATATTAGTGTTTTGCCTGCGTGTATGTCTGTGTGAGGGGGTTGGGTCCCTTGGAACTAGAATTACAGACAGTTGTAAACTGTCATGTGGGTGCTGGGAATTGAACCCAGGAGAAGAGTTGGTGCACTTAACCTCAGAGCTAGCCCCCAATATGTGGGGGCTTGAGTCCTCAACACTTTTTTTAAAATATTTATTTATTTACTAGACAATATTCTTTCTGCGTGTATGCCTGAATGTTGAAATAGGAGCGGCGGGGCTGCGTCCCCAACACCCCAGCCGCTTGGCTAGCTCATGCCCGAAATAACAACACACAAACTGTATTCATTTAAGAACTGCTTGGCCCATGAACTCTAGCCCTTACAGGCTAATTCTCGCACCTGGACTAGCCCATTTCTAATAATGCGTGTAAGCACCCCAAGGTGCGCTTACCGGGAAGATTCTAGCCTCCATCCATCTTGGTGTCTCTGCTCCAGCAGAGCTGTCGGGTCTCTCTGGGAGCAGAGCAGAGTCTGACCTCACTTCCTCTTCCGCCCAGCATCTTATCCTGTTTATTCCGCCCACCTATCTTTTACCTATCAGGGCCAGCAGTTTCTTTATTGCTCAGCCAATGAAATCAACAGATTGATATGACACTCCCACATCACCTGAAGGCCAGAAGAAGGCACCAGAACTCATTACAGATGGCTGTGAGCCACCACGTGGTTGCTGGGAATTGAACTCAGGACCTTTGGAAGAGCAGGCAATGCTCTTAACCACTGAGCCATCTCTCCAGCCCCCCCCCCAACACTTTTCTACTTCCCGTTTCCCTAACTCCAAAAGGGAACTTCTGATGCCTTGTTCTCAGTATCTAGTGCAAGTGGTCTGTACCACCACCTACAGACTATTAACACTGACAGCAATGATCCCTACACAGGCTCTTAGGTCACATGTGATGATGGTCTATTCTAATGATTTTCTAGAATCTGAGAAGGAATGTATGGGCACATGTAAGACTTTAACTCACATGGCCTGGGCTACTGCTGGGCTTTGAGGCTCTTTCCAGCTTGGGGCCTGAGGGAGGCAGGAGCCACTGGAGGGAATGGAACTTGGGTGTGTGGTTAGGCTGAGTGAGGACAGATGCAGTCAGGCTCAGGGTACCTGATGCCTGCTGACCTATAGAAACCAGACAAGGCCAGCTGTGGTGGTGCATGCTTTTAATCCCAGCGCTTGGGAGGCAGAGGCAGGTGAATCTCTGAGTTCAAGGCCAGCCTGGTCTCTAAAGTGAGCTTCAGGACAGCCAGGACTTACACAGGGAAACCCTGTCTAGATAAACAAAACACACAAAACCAGCAGACTCCTTGGGACGGGGAGGGGAGAGGTGGGACTGGTTCTTCTGAATAGGATCGGAATCCAGAGAAGGCCCTGTTCTGTGTGCATGAGCCTGGCCTGGGGCTGTCGTCCCTGAAAATACAGAAAGGCTTGTGAGGAAGCCCTGAGTGTTGCTTAGAGTTCTATCCTGTCATGTCTCAGCTGCTGGCCAGCAAATTTAGAAAAATAGCCCCATATAATTTTGAGGTCAGTCGTTCAGTTCTGTTCTCTCTGACCACAGGTAGCAAAGCTCATTACCCCAAAGGGTGTCGTTGGATTAGCACTTAGGCAGCACCAATGAGCCATCATCGCTGACTTCCATGTCAGAAAGAAGTATATGCAAGCTAGCCTAGAGGAGTCCAGGACACTTGCTCCTTCTCTGCTTGGCCTTTGCTTCTAGAAGGGCGGCCTGGCAACTCTGGAGTACACGAGCTGCCACCAACCTGTATGTCTGGTAACTTCATAGTGCACCCCTACCTTAGCCAGTGCTATCGAGTCAGCAAGTGTCTCAGTCAGGGTTCCATTGCTGGGATGACACACCACAACTCTGCTGATTCTTACAAAGGAAAACATTTCACCGGGGCTGCCTTACAGTTCAGAGGTTTAATCCATCATCATCATGGCGGAAGCCAGGGAGGTGCCGGAGAGGTACCTGAGGGTTCTACATCTTGATCCGCAGGCAACAGAAAGTGAATTCTCCCTTAGTAGGCATAGCTTGAGCATAAGAGACCTCAAAGCCCACCCCCACAGGGACACATTTCCTCCAAGGAGGCCATACCTGCCTCAACAATGCCACACCTCCAAACAGTGCCCCTCCCTGTAGGCCAAACATTCAAACACAGGAGTCTGTGGGGGTCATACCTATTCAAACCACCACAGCAAGCAGCCTGGGGCTCCGTGTGGTTTGATCTGTTTGTACCTCTCTTATAATAATATATTTGGTAGCCTGGATGGTTCACTTGCATGTAGAATATACACATATCTCTGAATAATGCACCTAGCAACCTAGGACCCTCCTCAATGGCTTTCTCCTTATATGATTATCAAACTTGGATTCTGTGCAGTCAGACTCAGGATGTTCTATGAGAGAAGCTGGCTTGGAATTGTCTATAGACCTGCCTGCCATCAGGGATTAAAGGCACACCTGGCCCATACTCTAGTTATGTCCAGGCACAAGAGTAGGGAGGTCGGTTGGGTTGAGCTAGTTTTGAGTTCATGGCAAATTCCATCCTTAAAGTGAACTTTTAGCTGGGTGGTGGTGGCGTACGCCTTTAATCCTAGTACTTGGGAGGCAGAGGCAGGCAGATCTCTGTAAGTTCCAGGCCAGCCTGATCTACAGAACTAGTTCCAGGACAGCTAAAGCTGTTACACAGAGAAACCCTGTCTCAAAAAACAAAGTAACAAAAAGCAGACCTTGGGGAGTTGGGAGTGATCCAGCCTGAAGCTGTGGTGATGGAGGTGGTAAGTGGGTGACCCAAGGCAGCTAGCACTGTCCTCAAGACCATGGCCCTCAAGTTTGGGGGATAAGTCTGTAGTTTGTCATAGGAATTGGGGAAACCCAGTGTAAAGACTGCATGAGGCTGGAGGCCTCAGAACAGGACCAGCAAAGGGAGGCCTGGGCCATGCAGGCTCTGCAGAAACTGGCCCAGGGCATCCCAGTGCAGCTGAACAGTGGGGTGGCCAGACCAAAATGTTTGTCATAGTGGAGATATAATTTTGGACCTTGGGTGAGGAGTGGAGAAGGCATGAGAGAGCCCTGAGGAAATGCCCAGAGAGCAAACATGTGAGTGTCCCATTAGGAGGGTGAACATTAACCATTTCCCTAGCAACTACAGCCTCATACATAGTATGTATGTATGACCGCACTGACCCACTGGCAGGAGATGGTCCCTAGGCAGCTGGAAGAAACCCTCAGACCAGGGCTGTCCTTCACTCCCCAAGTGAGGCTGGGTTCAGATCTGGCCAGCAAAGAGCAGTGTTTCACAGCCTGTCTGTGCTGAGTCTGTGGCCAGGAAAAGGCCAAAGTTTCCTAAGTTGTGGGCAAAGGTCAGTCAGCCAAGTCCTTAGTTGCTGTCATTTTGTAAAGTTTCTGTCAAGGGAGGTGGGGATGAGGCACTGCCCTCTTGCTCAGAGCAGCCTGAGGAGCCGCCATTTAGCTTTTAGCGACCTCAGGCAATAGACTCTGGGCTTTGACACAGAAAAGCATTGAAGGGTTGGTCAGTATAAAGCAGACTCAAGGTTTTAGTAAACATATTGGAGACTGGGGAGATGGCTCGGCAGTTACAAGTCCTTTTCCAGAGGAGTTGGTTGGATTCCCAGCACCCACCACGCAAAACTATCCGTAAGTCATTTTAGGAGATCTGATGCCCTCTTCTGGCCTCCACAGGCACTGCATGCACATGGTGCATAGGCATATTGGTAAAACATCCATCCATAAACATAAAATGGAACTTAATATTTTGTGTGTCTTTGATGTTGGGGGTGGCACACTTGTGCCATGGCCTCCATGTGTACAGGTTAGAGTGTTATTTAAAACACTGTGAAGGGAAGAAGTCACACCATACAACAGGACTCACATGGGATTATTGGAAGAGATGGGGGAGAGACCAGTCCCTGTGGACAAGAGGAACAGGAGAGAGAGGGCAAGGCCCACCTTTTAAAGGGGAGCGTAGTGAATGTGCACAGGAGGTGCTCTTAGTGGCTGTGGTGGCTGTCAGGACCCCAATAACAGGCCAGTACAGATGCCCGAGTCCTAGCAGGAACTTCGGAGCTCTCTCTCACGCTGTTTCTCTAGATTGAACTGAGGTTACTGGGCTTGTCTGCTGAGCACGTCTTAGCCTGAGGGTTAAGAGACAGCGAGAAGCTCAGAAGAAACGGCTCATCCCAGAAGCACAGGTGTGGGCTCCTCAAAGAAGCAAGACACAGGCAAGTGTGGGTGTGTGTGGTGATGGTTTGTAATCTAACAAACAAAGCTTGCCTGAAGATCAGAGTGCAGAGCTAAACCACTAGTTAACCAAAGAGACCAGGCAGTGGTGGCACACGCCTTAATCAGGAGTCAGAGGCAGAAGGATCTCCACTAGTTCAAGGCCACCCTGGGCTAAATGAAATTGATCCAATCTAAAAGAGAAACAGGGCTCACACAAAGGTGATCCCAGTACTTGGGGTGTCGCGCCTTTAATCCCACTAGGGAGGTGGAGACAGGAGTGATGTGGCCAGGCAGAGAGAGGAGTATAAGGGAGGAGACTGAAGCTCAACCCATTCAGTCTGAGCATTTGTAGAGACAGGATCTTGCTCCTTTGATCTGAGGATTCGGTAGAGGTAAAAGGTCTCTCTAGTGCCTGACTCCTTTACTTCTCTGATAATAAATCTTTCATCATTTATTCCAATATCTGACTCAAGGTTCTTATTATTAAGACCATTTAGAGTTCACACTAGAGATTTGGGAGTCTCTCATGGGGCTTGTCCCCTGTTATTCCTTTCGATGCTAACAGGTAGGTTTTGAGGCTGGCCAAGGAGCCTGAAATCCGAGATGACAGGGAGCTTTCAGAGGGTCCCTGATAGGATTACTGCCAGTAAGACAGGGATGGAAAGTTAGTAGCTGTGCTGTGTGTGCGCATGTGTGTGTGTGTGGTGATGCTCTGTGCAAAGGCACACACATTCGATGTTAGCACCCAGTGTCTGCGAAGGAGCGGCTTTTTATCTGTGTGTCCACAGCAAATGTAGACCCTGGTGAGGGGCTCCAGAATGGGGGTGCTGGCTCCTTTCATTTCCCGTGTCCTAATTTTGTTTCTCTATCTTGCCTCAACTGTCACCTTTTTTAACATAGTACAGTGCTTTTCTTCTGCCAATTTTTAGCCAGGGATGGTGGTACAAGCCTTTGGACACAGAAACAAGATGCAACCTGCACTACAGACTAGTCAAATTAAAAGGAACTTAATTTTAAACGTTTTCTCAAAATCCTATTTCTTTGCTCTGAATCGAAGGTGAGGTACACCTGATTTATCCCATGATTAGTTACTGTGGTAGTTCAGTTTCTCTCATTTTTTTTTTCAGTCAGAGTCTTCTTGTTATATCGTTATGCTGAGCTTGAACTCAATGTCATCGATTCTGTTGCTTCAGTCTCTGGATTTCTGGGATTACAGGCATGAACTGTCAAGTCCAGTCTTTACCTAGAATTTTGTAAACTTGTTATCAATCCGATATAGGTCCACATGTAGCCTTGGCTAGCCTCAAATTCGATTACGCAGCAAAGGATGACCTTAAACTTCTGACCTTCGTGTCTCCCACGTCCCAGGAGAGAGGAGTATTAATACGGGCCACCAAGTTCCGCTTTGATAAAAATTGTACACCAAATTGATCGGGCGTGGCCTTTCTTGGGTCGGGCTCTGGCGCCCCCTGCTGCCCATTATGACGCGGGCCACAGGGCCGCTCAGGCGGCGGAGGTCCGGGCGGAGGTCCGGGCAGAGTGCTGGAGCTATGATTGAGCCGCTGGAGCAGTTGCTGCAGCTGCAGAAGGACAACCGCGACGGCCGCCTGCGGAAGCAGGAGCTGGAGGAGCTGGTGCGTGGGCTGGAAGCCGAAAGCGAGAGCCTCACCGGGCGTCTGGACGAGCTGCGCGAGCGCGAGCGCAGGTGCGAGGGCACCGAGGGCCCAGGGCAGGCTACTGGCAGCCTCGGCTCTGGGCAGTGGGCTCAGTCTGGAACTCTCAGGCTGGCGGTGGGCTTCCCACAGGATCCTGCGCCCTAGTTTCATCCCTGACCATTTGCCCCCCACCCCCTCCCGCCGCGCAGCCTGCAGCGGAGACGAAGTCAAGCGTCGCGGGCGATTCGAGGGGAGGCGCGTGAGGCGGCACGGGAGCGCGCGGAGCAGGCTCGTGGGCTACTGGAGGCCGCGGAGCAGCACCGGCTGGACCTGGTAAGGGCAAGAACAAGAGGTGGGGCCGGGGTGGCGAGGCTAGCGGAGGGGTCTAGACAGCCTGGACCCTGTCCGCAGGAGCAACACAATCGGAAGCTGCAGGAAGAGTGGGAGGAGCTGTCCAGCCAGGTACGTACGGAATGTCCCAGGTCACGCCCTCGCCCCCAAGTCCCATAAACCAGGCACTCACAAACTCTGTTCCCAGCTTTTCTACTATGGAGGAGAAGAGTTGAGCCAACAGCGAGCAGAGCAGCGACTGGGAACTCAACTTGCGGCACTGCAGGTACTTGGGCGGGGCCTGGGCGGGGAATGGCTGTGGGCAGGGCCGTGCGCTTGCGTGGGTAGAGCGTCGGACCTGAAAGCCAGCGACCTAACACCCGGGGGCGGGGGAGACCAAGCCCCGGGGCACAGCGGTGTGCGAGGCCTACAGGTTCTTGATATCACTTTGGATTCTTTCGAAGAAACATCTGGAGCTGGCGGAGGCCAAATTCACCATGCAGGCAGAGGACCTGCGACAGGTGCGAACGGTGCTGGGCTCTGAGGGGAGGACGCGAGGAGAGGGCATGTCCTGGCGATGCTCACCCCTTGGCTTCTAGGGCGCGCAGCGTACGGAAGAGGCCTGGGCCAGCTTCCAGGAGCAGAGCGGAGTCCTGCAGGTGCGGGTTCTTGGGTCTGAGAGCCGGTCACTTCTAACGCTCTGCGGCCTCAACCCTTTCTCCTCACCCCTGACCCGCGGTGGACCGCATTCTCCGCCCTGAGTCCCTGTTGCCACTCTCCAGGAGCTGCAGGGGAAGGTGATGGAGGCCGCGGCTGCGCTGGAGGCTACGCGTGGTGGCGCGGAACCGTAAGGGTTGGGATTAGGGAGGACGGCAGGGCAGTGCTAAAGCCGGGCCAGGTGGCCCATCTCCGTGCCTATCCCGCAGGTGGAACTCGCAGCCTCGTCGGGTGCAGGACTGCGCGGGCTCACTCATGGAGGAGGTGGCCAGGGCTGACTGTGTGAGCGCGGGCCGGAGCGCGCGGGCGAAGCTGGGATCCAGACCTGCTTTCTCGGGGAGACTTGGCTAGTTCCTGGAGCAGAGCTGAATGCGTCCCTTTCTCTGCAGGAAAATCGGCTGTTTGGCGGTGCGGGCGCGGGGAGCATCAGGTGAGTGGCTAGCGGTGGCCCGGTAGTCCGGGTTCGGGGTCTCGGAGCCACCACCCATGTGTTCGTTGGTGGTTTCTCAGGTTGTGGGCGCTCAGCGCACTGCAGACGCTGCTGCTGCTCCCACTGGGCTTCCTGGCGCTGCCGCTGCTCTACGTGGCGCTGGGGAAGCCCGACACCGTCGGCCAGGGGCTCCCGAGTAGTCTTGGCTCGGACACAGTCTTCCGTAGGCTGCGCTACACGCTGTCGCCTTTGCTTGAATTGCGCGCGCAAGGACTGCTGCCTGCTTAGAGCACATCATGCCGGCTTCTGCCACCTCTGTCTCTTTTGTGGTTTTTGGGGTGCCTACCTGTGTGAAAAGGGCGGGGTGGAGCTTGTGTGTTCCTGTGGGCCCAGAGACCCCCTTGTCACCTGGATTCAGGGGTACTGTCCAACAGCTGGGCTGCTTGGTGCCCGGACTGTCCTCCAGCCCGACCCCCTAGCGAGTCGTTTGCTACTGTGAGTACTGGCCTGTCAAGTTCCCTCCGTGGTGTGTGGATTATTTTCCCCGGAATTACTCCAAATTCCCTGCAACATTGGGTGGAGTTCGCCAAACCCAAACTTCCTCACAGCATCTGAGCACACCGATAGTGGGCTTCGTGAGGAACGTGCTAGTGTATACGAGGAATGTCTGCTCAGTGGAAATCAGTATGGGTTGAATTTTGATCCTGCACATCATATAAGCTCTAGACTACTTATTTGGTGGGGCGGGGGTCTCATGCTGTTCCATGTAGCTGAGTGATCTTGAACTACTGATCATCTTACCTCTGGCTCCTGAGTGTTTGGATTGCAGACATGAGCCACCAGGTGTGGTTTATTCTGTTCTGGGGATCGAACTAAGCATTTGTGAATGCTGAACTATAACCACGCCATTTAAACAATTATAGCTTTTTATAGTTTCTCGGCAACATGCTTAATGGCCCGACAAAACGGTCAATGAAGATGAACACGGAGAATCGGTTGTGGCTGAGGTTAACCGCACCCAGCAGCCTATACGCTCTGTCCATTGGAGCCTTCAGCTCCTCGGCTGGGGTGATGGCTGTCTTGCAAGCACAAGGGTGGAAGTTTGATCCCAAGAACCTATGCAAAAAAGCTGGATGTAGCCTGGCGGTGGTGGCACACACCTTTAATCCCAGCACTTGGGAGGCAGAGGCAGGTGGATCTCTGAGTTCCAGGCCAGCCTGGTCTACAGAGTGAGTTCCAGGACAGCCAGGGCTGTTACACGGGGAGAAGCCTTGTCTTGAAAACAACAAAAATTTAAAAAAAAAAAATAAATAAATAAGAAAGAAAAGAAAACCAAACAAAAGCAAGGCTGGGAGTGGCCAGGATTACAGGTCTGGGTTGCTACTCTAAGGTTCACTTTTGTTTGCTTTCTCAGTTTCTTTCCCACCCAGACTCTGCTTCCATTCCTGCCTTCTGACTGTCATTTGGGGGCTACTGGGCATGGGCCTTGTGCATGTCAGACAAGGCAAGAACTTTCACCACTAAACTACAGAGATATGGAGACAAAGACCAGCCTAGGAAAGTCTCTCCTTGGAGAGAATGCCTGTTGGGATGAGTCACAGGCTGAGGCTACACACAGCTAGGGCTGAGGTGTTTGCCTAGTATGCATAGGCCCTGGGTTTGATTATCCTACCAAAACCAAAAGCAGACTCCTTGAGCTCGGCAGTGACTCAAAAGGACCAGAATCGAAGGGCAGCTTCAACTCCAGGGAGGTAGGTTTGAGGCTAGCAAACAAAGCAAATGCAGCACATTTGGGGATTTTTATTTTTCCATGTTTACACAAGAAAATACTTCATGTACCCATGTAGTAAGACAGGTGAACAAATGGGGAATGTGTCCAGTGCACAGAGACTCACACCTGTGCTCTCACACCTGCGCACACAGCACACTGTGCTGCTCAGTCTCCTGAACAAGGGTCTGTGAAGCTGTCAGCTCCACGCCCAGGCTGCCTCAGTAGGGGATGTCATTCTGGTAGTACTGGATCATGTCATAGGTCCGGCTCCTGGAAGGCCAAGCAGGAGAGTGAGGAGCCTCATCTCTCAGAGCCCTTCCCACCTGCTCACCCTTGGCAAGGCTCAGGGACGTGGGCGACTTGCCTGTTGCTGAGGAAACAGCTCTGGATGACCTTCATGATAAAATTTGCTGCCTCTCGCTCGGTCATGTTAGGGCTGAACCTGTGTCTGGGGAGAGATGGAAGACTGCATTTGTGGGAACCTGTTGGGGCCCCTTCTCCTGCTGTGACCTAGTGTGGCCCCTGACCCTTTCCAGCAACTAGTAGGCCACTTGGGGAGCTCAAGGCCATCTTGCTCTCCAGGAAGCCCGACTGCTCTGGGGTTCCCAGGACACAAAAGGTTTCTAGGTAAAGCCCCAGCACAAGAGCCCTTCCCCAAGGCACCTACTTCAAAAGCTTGATTGTCTGGCCTCGGAAGCAGGGCAGGCCTGTGTCCAACATGAGTGTGACCAGGGAGACAACTGCATCCATGTAGGGCCTGTGGAGACGGCGAGGGTCGGGACAAGGCCAGCCATCCACCTCTGCTTCCCCCAGCCATGCTCAGGCAGCCGGTATGGCTGAATGTCCTTCCCTATCCCCCACATGCCAGGCTTCCAGCTGTGGTTTCAAAGATGCTCTGTTGGGCTTAACTACAGTAGCATGTGGGATGTGGCAAGGTGACACTCCATGTGCCATCGGGTTGGTGTCAGTAGCTTTGGAGGTGCGGGGGCTACGGTGAAGGGGTGGCCAGGAAGTCCCGAGGAGGAGCCCAAGGCTGGAGGGTGCTGCCAGATGAGGTCAGCTGTGGGAGACTGCAGGATGGGGCTGGTGGTCAGAACTGGAAGCTGCTCACAAAGGTAGACTAAGTGATTAGAAGGCAAGGCCCTTCACTTCTTAAAGATTTATGGCTGGGAGGTAGTGGCACACATCTTTAGTCCCAGTACTTGGGGGGCAGAGACAGGCAGATCTCTGTGAGTTCCAGGACAGCTAGAGCTACATAGTAAGACCTTCTCTCTCTCTCTCTTTGTTTTTGTTTTTTTGTTTTTTTTTTTTTTTTGGTTTTTCGAGACAGGGTTTCTCCATAGTTTTTGGTTCCTGTCCTGGAACTAGCTCTTCTAGACCAGGCTGGCCTCGAACTCACAGAGATCCGCCTGCCTCTGCCTCCCGAGTGCTGGGATCAAAGGCGTGCGCCACCACCACCCGGCAAGACCTTGTCTTGAAACAAAAAATTATCTTTATGTGTGTGCCCATGTGTGTGTGGGCAGTGGATGGCGGAGCTGGAGTAACACCTGATGTCAGTGCTACTGAGCCTGACTTCCTCCTTCCCACCTTTACATCCCTTCCACGTGGCCCATGGACTCACCGCACAGCCAGATAACCTCGGACACACATCTCCATGAACCATTTGAAGGGTGTGGCTTCCATCTTGCCCCCCATAATCATCACCATCTCATCTGTCAGCTTGATGTCTGGCTCCCAGCCAAGGTTGCCACCTGGTGAGCTTTCGAACATGAAGCCGAAGTCTGCAAAATCCCAAAAAGCTGCTTGTAACTGGGGCAGGAGCAAGGCCAGGGTGGTTTATCTCTAGCAGAGGGTCTCAGCTACAGGGGCCTGAGTGGGGGAGGAGGAGCTCGTGCCAGGCTAGAGCAGAGGCACTCCACCAGCTTCCCATCTACCCAGAGTGTGGGCTGCCATTCTCGTTCCCAGCCCCCTAGGGCCTGGCTGACCGATGTGGATGATGTGGCCCTTCTTGTCCAGCATGATGTTGCCATTGTGCCTGTCCTTGATCTGCAGCAGGAACAGCAGGAGGCTGTAGGCGGCCATGCTTCGGATAAAGTTGTAGCGTGCCTGTGTGGAGAGGGCTGTGGTCTCACCTGGCTCTGTGTGACTAAGGCAGAGCTCACAGCAGTGAGCGCAGCTGTGTGGAGTGCAGACAGGAGGTGAGCTGAGGCTGTGGGGCTGGCTACCTGCTGGAAGGCCAGGGTGGACTCATCCCCATACTGGCGTGTGAAGTAGTCATACATGCCGAAGTCAGTTTGGCGGCCCAGCTGGTCTCGGGAGGTACAGTCCGGTATGCACTCAATCACCCCGCACTAGGAAGGGAGGGAGAAGGGACAGTCGGGTGGGAGCAGTGATGTGCTGGCCCCTTTGCCTACCACACCCCAGGAACTCACCCCAGGGGCGGTAGCCACCACCCGGTAGGGAAAAACAAAGAGGTCCAGGCCGACCAGCTGGAAGATGTTCTTGAAGAGGTCGATGATCTGCAGGGCTAACATGTCCTGGACCGGAGAAGGCACAGGATGCAGTCAGGGTCCTTTCCTCAACCCTGGGACACTCGGAAACTAGTGTCCCTCGAGGCTCACATAGTAGGGAAGGGGGCAGGCTGTGGCCAAATGAGAGCTTAGAGGTCTGGCCTCACTGCCCACCCAGGCTGAGCTGTCACAAGATTGCCCTGAGGATGTGGGAGTGAGGCCGTCCCTGATGGTGCAGGGTGGGGCTGGGAGCAGGGGTTTCTGGGTTTGTTCTGATGCCTCCAGAGCACCTGAATCATAAAGTGCAGGAAAGGGTCACGTGTCACTAGAAGACAGTGCCTTGCCCTGCCAGCCTAAATAAGGCCAGCTTTGTCACCTGTCGGCAGTCATCCCCCACTTTGAAGATGGCTGCCTGCCAGCAGATCTTCTTGCCATCGGCCTCCTGCCCGCGGCACTCATCATCAGCATCTGAGCGGCACTGCAGACCTGGGGAGGGGAGGGGGCTCTCTCAGCCTGAGGGCACAAGGAGGCTGCCTAGGGTTGAGAAAGAACTGGGATCTTGAGAATCACTTTGGCAGAGCACTAAGGGGTCCCAAGAAACACCATGAGTTATCATGTAGGATCACAGGGCCGGGACTTTTCCTAAGAACACAAGTTTACAAGGAACTGAAACAGAGCCCCTTGGGGTCCAAGCTGAGGACTCAGCCGAAACACAGCCACACCACTGAAGACATTTCCACATTGGTCTGTGTCCCCACAGAGTTCATACCCCAAACCATAACCGTGGTCTTCTTTGGAATTAAGGTATTTGAAGATGCCGGTCATAGTAGATGCCAAGTGTCCTTTGAGAGAGACTTGTCAGGCCACACAAGGCAGGCAGAGATGCAGGGATGCTAAGCAGCATCACCTGCATGGATTGCTACAACCACAGGAAGGCGAGCCGGAGAACACCCAGCCCAGAATTTAGATTCCTGCTTGGCCACAGCCTGACCCTTCCCTCACTGAGCATGCTGGCCTACGTCCTGATGTCAGACTCCAGATCTGTGATGCTGCACACCTCTCCGGTGTCACTCAGACTATGCTCCTCTCTACAGAGCCTGAAGCAACCAGTGTGCTCACAAAGGCTCAGTAGCTGGGCTCCGAGGACGGGGGTGGGAGCAGATTCCAGGGTAAGCAAGCATTGCTGCAGAGCACCCTGCCATTTCCAGAGGAAGTCTGCAGGGAGACGCATGGCAGACATCTTTGATAGGATGTTGTAACAGCAGCACGGGTGAGGAGAGACATCCGGACACGAGGGGTCCCTTACTGACCTTCTTTTTCAAGCTCGCTCACTCCACAGCGCTTCACCTTAAACTTGGCCAGATAGGGCGCCTTTGCAGCACTGAGAGAGGAAGGGAGTACATAAGTACAGTGGAGACTGCTAGTGTGGGACACAGTGGGGACGGGCACTCACCTCTGCATTGGCGTTCCTGACATGTAGTCAATGTCTAGCACAATTGCTTCAGGGTTGCTGGGCAGGTAGCAGCCTGGGCAGGCACAGAAGGAGGTACAGGGAGCTATGTGTCACCAAGGTGCCACAGCCAGTCCCCAGTCTAGGCTTTACATGTAGAGCAGCCGGATGAGGACGCTGACTTGTT